TGTCACTAAGCCCTAGCCAAATCATGCGGCAGTTGGGTGATTGAATATCGAGCCGATCATCGATCCCTGTTAAGGTCAGTAGCGAACAAAGCGCATCAGTTAATTGTACACACTGGAATGGTCCACGCGGTGGTGGTCTTACTTTTGCTTGTACCTACTTCAACTAATATATTTCTGTAATAATGTCTTTTGCGTCGTACAGTCTTCAAAGCATCTGTAGTACATTACCACGTCGACGGGGCAATCCACGTAAGGTGCTGACTGTGTGGTGTGACTTCGACGTTAGCTGGTTCGTCACATCATTCCCGTCTAACTCGAGTAGGCCTCCAATCATTCGACATAGATCATCGACGCTGGTGATTTACATTACGAATATCTCAGGACCCAGATCATGGACTAGTGTTGTGCAGTTTTATTCTTAATTCTACCTAAGTATTATCTCTACTTTCCAACTTGGTTTCTAGTAAAGAGTCTGTATGGAAACAACGACATGGGGATATACTAGTGAACCCTTTACGGTTTTTAAATAGTCATATTTTCATCAGACCGTCTACGCCTAATGAAAAATCTATCCTTACTACAGATGCACCTACACTAGGGTTAGGTGCGGTTCTAGAGCAGAGTAGTGAAACTGTCATTTTTATTTTGAAATGATTCAGCAAGAGTGGAGGATGCTTTGGCTATGGTAAATGCAGTAGAAAAGCTTTACAAATACTTTTTTGGTTTAAAATTCCATAATGCAACTGATTACCAGGCATTAAAGTTGATTTACCATCCGACTACGTCACTTCATTGGTTATCCGCTGCCTTGATCTAAAGATGGAATTTAAGTCTGAGTGCTCATGATTTCATGATTGAGTACCATGTGGTCAAAAGCATATCATATGCAGATTTTCCATCACGCTATTGATATTTTGAAAGGCCGCCTAACGAAAACGATTATGTGTCGATTCAACCGGTACCTGTTTATATAACAGAACTCGTGAAGGATGCCCGTTAATTGAACTGTAATCGGTACAGCATAAAGAGGTTGGAATATTTGGTGCAAGCGTAGGTTTTTTGGGTTTTACAAAAAGAGAGAGGACATAACATTGTATTGTGAGTGATTTTTGTGCTTTGATTGTTGAGTAATAATTTTCCCTACACTCAGATATGCAGAATTAAACGACTTTCATACTGCCCATCTGGGAGCATAGAAACTGTTTGTCAAAGATGTCAGTGACCTGAGACTGTAGCTGATATAATTCGAATATCGAAAACATATCCTGATTGTTTACACAAGCTACCGTATAATAGACGCACTTGGAATCCTTAGTCTGTATCTTAAGAATTGTGATAACGTACGTGTGCCGATTACTGTGGTCCATCTCAAACCCATTTTGCGCTTTAGTCGTCACTGATTCATATTAAGAATGACCAGAAGTTGTACTCACGAAAAGTTCTAGAAAACAATTTAATCAAAGCGCGATGTGAAAGATATTAAGTAGTGGATGAATTCTCAGTGTATTAGTAGCGGATGATGGAACTCACTACACGGAAAAATTTTAACAGCTAGCTTGATGTCATCATCTCTTTACAGCTCCACAACATCCTCAGTCAAACGGTCAAGCAGGAAACCCAGACTACTTAATAAATACACAGATAGAAAATCAACATGTGGCGTGCGTAGTGAATGACCAATACAGTTATCGTACAGTTAAATATCCGATAATATGTTTATACATATCATAATAATGCAACACAATTTCATACTACGTACTTAGAATTTCACTTCTTGATTATGTCTTTTCAAAGTGCTATACTTATCAGGATTAATACTATTTCGTTACATTATTTCAAATTAACACTTCCTATTGATTCGCTTGCCTTTGAGAATGAAAACTTACGTACATGAGCTTCACAGGATGCATACTCGCTATCATTAACCGGTCAATAACATGTATTTTAATATAATCCAATAAGAACTACAGTAAGCATAACAAAACTTAATATACATACGACAGAACCTTTAAATATACCTTGTCTCTCTGCTTAGATACCATTACATGTTTTAAAATCTTTCTCTTCTCTAAAGATAGTTTTTGAACTTCGACTTCATTAGCATTTTGCTCTCTAATTCTAACCTTACGTATTCTGTTTATTAATTATATCTAACTTTCACTGCATTCTTCTACTAATTACTTTATCATGTGCTCGTTAATGACTGGACTCAAGATGGTTTCCCTGAATTTCTGGTGAGAAGCCGTGACCAGCAGAGTTCAATCCGTGTCGTATGAGACACTTACCCACCTCAGACAGTGGATGAAACGTTGTGCAAGATCATGAACAGATTGAAGCTAGGCATTAACACCGTTAGATGTCGGCTCAGTGGTCCGAAAGTAATAATATTATAAAGTCTAGATATGGGACAGTAAATGGAGGGATATATAAAGGGTTACAATTTATCTTACAGAGAAATTTACACCTGAAGCAAGGCTGGTGACTATTTGATCTTTGAAGATTTCAATAAGCTACACGTCGTTCACTTGGATGCTGCTATCTTAAATTGATGTGCCAGTGCTAACTCTCTGTAAATTAGTAATTATCGTTTCCGTGTAGAGTGTATCATACGACCAGACAAGGTATGTTTCGACGCTTCATATCCTTTGGCAACAACCCTAATCACTTGATCTCGCAACACTTAAACTTCAGTAATTCGTAGTCATGAACAAATGCTAAATATCGATTGCGTACGGCAGCAACTGAAAGCCATGTTTGCCCTTAACCTGTGCTTTTTATATAACAAAAGGAAAACAAGACGATGTAGTAGAATCACTTCAATACAGTCATTTAAGAACAGAGGTACATTAGGTGTATCAGAATAGAAACAAGTTGAAAGTTTATCAAGTTCCTTCATTAGGATCTAAGCACAGAATACTGTTGGTAACTCAACCCACAATCGAACTTATTAGATATCAGGCACAAGACGAAAAAAATAACAGAGGAACCCATTTTCATGTTGGTTAGCAGCATAATACCTGGTAAAACATCAAGTCTTGATGGTTGACAACTACGACGATCTTTCATTCTCATTCGCATGGAAATTGATACATTAGGAGTAATAATCCATAATAATGTGCTAAATCATGTAGAACTGCATTATCTGCCGACTTCGATGCAACACGATCTTCAGAATAAATGTCTCATCGGCCAACCTACTAGAGGCAAGAGATAAAAGAGCGGCCAAACATAGAGGCTAACTTTATGACGAAATATTTATAGGTTTCACATGGCCATTTTGTAGTGTCTTAGTCAGAGTTAATGAGGAGTTTTTCTTTATATCTTAACAACACTACTCAAGTCCTCCATACTCTTCATCACAAATGTCGATGTCTGAAAAATATTAAGTAGTAAGGCTGATCATCGCGACATGCAAGCTGGTTAAGATGTTGTGTTTTGATGGTCCAAAAATTTGAACCTAAACGCCGATATGAATAACAGTGGTATTACGCTGTAGCGGTAAATAAATCCCCAAAATAAATAGCTCTGTAAGTTTTCGACATTGGATGCTGACCATATGTTTTAGTGGACTCACCTAGCTGAAGGCGCTCGGTCATGCATCCATACCAGATCACGTGTGGTAACGCTGTGCTCAACATCTACCGCAATCGCTAGCCAGATTAGATCAGACAATTCCGATATATTGGTAATCGCCAAATGCACTCTTCCGATCTCCTTGACTCTGTCTTTTGATTTCTCTTGGTGGGTACGGGTTATATTAGAAGGTGTTGCTGGTAAAAGCATTGTCAAACACCGAATACCTGTGCCATCTTCAACGCACTTAAAATATGATAACAGACACCAATGTATAACGGATGGAGCACCACTTCCTTAAATACAGAAACGGAATTAACTTGAACTGTAGTTCTTATCTAAAAAATAACTTCCTATGTCAATTGATTCGTTCCAAAAGTCTACATCTATTTCGGTCGCCTTTCAGAGATCCTAAATTCTTTTGCTTAAATATGTTTTGCATATTGAGGACGAACAGTATGTGACCACACCTGCAATCTTGCGTCAGAAAAATAAGTCGATAACTTACTAAAGATCCCGGAAAAAATAGGCGTATTTAACGTGCGAGGACAATGTTTTGGATGTGTTTTATAAACTTCCGTACACTCAAACCTTCTTCACTTATTTTATTGTACGAAAAGAGCTGAGTTCACATTGTTACTTAGTATTTCAGAAAATGACTTGAGTGTCACCACATCTTGTCTATTGGATTTCTTTAATGACAGTGAACTCTGTGGCCATCAAAAACAGCTTAAGAAGCTTTAGTTGAATAAAAATTCACTGAGATTTCTTACCGTCGAGTGATCACCAACAGGACCTTTCAACCAGTGATGTGTTATCATGTTCATCGGTGAATCGTTTCAATCAAAATCTAGATCTCCAATCGAAACTAGATACCAAAATACATAAGACAAACGACTGAACTGGCCTCGTTATTACTAGATACTGAAAAAATATCCTTACTGCTTGTCCAAGTAGAACAGCTAGTTCGTCTGCACAAAAAAATAACAGCCATCAACCCATATTAATGCATGAAAACACGTATTCATACTTAATTCGACTTCTCGGACCCCAAAACGGACAAAAATGAGAGTTCATATATTGCAACTTGCCTAGACTCAACTTGTTTGCTCACATTATCTAACGATCTTTCCTCAAGGTTACTTATGTTGCGGCTTCGATTAACTCATTATTCGCGTTGCTCATACTTCACGAGTTCTTTCAGTTATATTAGCAAAGAACTGTTCCATCCTGATCATTTGCACGTAAAAGCGATAACAAATCTACTTATTGGTGTTCATGATAATCTAGGATTGCCATGGGGATTGACAATTGCAACCACTGCTATCCTAGTACGAACAGTTGTAGCCGTTCCATTGTATATCTACGCTGAGAGGAACCAAGCTAAAGTTTCACATATTGCCATTGAATGTCAACAAAACCGGCAGATGATGCAAGCGAAACTTAGTAATTCTGAGTGTTATCGTAATTTGAGTAATAAGAGAAAATTAGTGCTTGAAAATCAACTGGTAGGGTTCTTTGAATAAATACATACTTCAAGTTCAGACGTGTCTTCATTGAAACATGCGAAAAAAATGGATGTCACCCATTGAAATCGTCAGTTACAGGAATAATCCAAATCCCATTGTGGCTCACATTCACATTCTCCATCAGATACTTGAGTGGATTCCAACTGTATCCGCAATCCGATTCCAATAATCGTAAGTCTCGTGACTTATTGGTCTTTAACAGTTTGTCACTTGTGTACTCGAAAACACTCTCATCTTAGAATATGTGGGAGCACAATGTGCTATTCCCAGTAGGTCTCATGCGCTAGATATGACGTTTTATAAACCAATAATATTTTACGAAGAACGTTCGTCAACCACAAATTTTTGTTTGATTTAAACCTTTCTCAGAGCCATTTCTCCTAGGATACTATAAAAGCAAGGATTCCTCTACGTAATAAAAGTTCCTTAAGTAGATATTACTAATTTTCACAGCATGTTACATTGTATAAGGAAGTAATATTTCAGCAAACGCAATACATGCAAACTTTGGGAGTTATTAGCGATCGTATCTCAAAGATTAGGCATAACGAGTCCTCAGCATCCCATAATTACTTGGTTTGCAATCATTGTTGGTAAAAGTACGGACCAGCATTTAATAACAGGCTGTGTTCTCGAAAAAAATTGAAGTTATGTATCAATGCTTCAATTCCTAGTTCCAAGTTACATATGAATGTTTATCACCATATGTTTGTGGTTCAGTGAAGTAAGAATCATAAGTTTACCTATAAAGCCATCTACTTGTGAGCTAGTCTCAAAAAGGCTCGTCAGTTTACTGTCACATAGTCCCTGTTACACAGAGCAATGCCCAGTGTAACTGTACGATCTCACCAGGTAGTTATTAAAATTTCGATGATATTGACAACGATTTTAATTTGCAACAGGCCACTGTTCTCGCTTCTGTCAGTTATTAATAGTTGTATTCTTAAGGTTGCTCGTGATTCAATTCTCCATCGTTGGTAAAAAGACAAACCAATATAGCAGCGCAGGTTTACATCTCCAAAAATAAGATCACTCGCAGGAGTGAGACAAAACATCCGGACTACAAAATCAAGTGAATAAGTTTTGTTTCGACTGATTTCTTAATGGTGTTTTTTATTTCACTTAATAGTGATTGCCGATCCGTCTCTCAACGTTCCGTGCTCAAGTTTCCTGCTTCCCTCCATATGTACGTTAGCCGGATTGGCAAATGTAGAACTGGCGTGTTTAAGACGACCTCTGTTCTTCAATCCGAAATCTAATTCTGTAATACCAGATCCTTTACCTTATAATGCTGTGCGGTTTGTTGGTTGGGTTGGAAATCTCGCTCTTTTCGCGTGTTGCAGCTTTTTTCCAAAAGTAAGTTGGTTACATTATGTGTTAATATCCTAGGCGTTTGTGATTTATTGGTGTACATCTTCAATTCACCAACTATGTATACATCTTTTGATAATGCACCCTTGTTTACGAAGACTGCTTGGTTTATGGACCATACCCCATGAAGGACATTATCCGTATAAAGTTCTACTTAACTCGATGTATCATCGCTATAACATATCAAAATGGTTGCAAAATAAAAAGTCATAAGTAACGATTAGTTACAATTTTTTATTATTTGTGTCGCAAGTAACTGGCTATACACTTCTGACTAACTTATTTTTATGTATTATTCATTAGTACTCCTAAAAGTGGTACCAGGAATCACAAGATAAATAAAACATACGTATAGGAAATAATTTTGTTGAAATCTTCATCTCCAAACTGAAGAAAACTTAACATGCTAATAATGCTGAGATAGTTGTAAAAGTTAAACGTAATAAAAGAATTGTCATAAAAGTTGTTGGTCTGATTGTAAACTTCGTATAACATCACATAATCCAAATTGAAGTGGCATCTAGTTATATCTACCAGATGTCTATTAGTCGGTGACGAATTGAATCATCAAGATAAAAGAATAGAATAACCTAGAAAACCAGGTTAGAAATGTTGAATCAAAATTAGTGCTATAGCCAGTGAATACGCTGGTGTCTTCAATGAACCACTGCGATAAGTTTACGGAATAACTTAGTTGTAAAGGCTTTATTCTCATAACAATGAAGTGTGAGGAAACCAATTTTAATGAACATGGGTAGTAATACCATAAAAGATACAATGTTAAGTGATGCGGCACATGCTACTGAGAAAATTTCGGAGAAATAGACAAAAACCTATTGTATGTACATTTCTCTCAAAACGAATCGAAGAACCTATTAAAGCACGACGTGATTTGTTCGTAAACTGCCTCAGTTCCTTCATGAGATCAAGGTTAGCAGAATTACTAAGAATATGTAGATCAGGAACTACTGTCTAATAAAGTGGGGATCTCCGTCTGATGAGTGGAAGGTAGTTGAATTCAGACTAATTTAAACGTCACCTCAAATCAGACTTGCTATGTCGTACTGCTTACAAATTATTTATAGCATGGTGTGATCAAAGTTATCATCTGCAGCGATCCGTTTATCTACGTTACTGTTTAATTAGTTTATGGACAGTTTAAAACTATAAACCGAAACGTTAAATGTCTGCCTATTACCTATTTCCAACTTTGAAATAATTAAAAACTACCGTCAGCTATTTCAATAATGGTATATTGTTGAAAAACACTTAAAAACAAAACTGTACATTTCTCCTTCCATTTTACAATCCAGATGTGTTAAATTAATTCTCCACACCGAGAAATAATAACGGGTTCTTTGACCTTACCAGATTTCGATCCAACGGACTACAAAACCATTTAAAAATTTATTTAGTACAATATGGAAATCGAACATGTTATACAGTAACTTTTTAAAAAGGCGTGTTACCAAGCAAATGAATCGCATGCAGAAATGGAGACCATTTCCAAATAAATTACAGGAAACATCCGCAGTAAGGTACAGTGAGAACTGATAAATACCCTTTTTGTTGATACAGTAAAACTATTCTATACACCATAAATCTGACGTAGTAGATATATATGGTAGTCTAACATTAAGCGGCTAGTAATTAAAAAAGAAATGTATCAACGGCAAATGCAACTAACATTTTTGGGAATATTTTAAGCGTGTTAGTGCATTTGGATTTCTTACTTCATCCAAACAGTGCCTAAAACTCATTACCAACATTAAATAAATTATGTCAATAATTGTTAAGGAGATAAGAACTAACCTCCATCTTTTTTACGACATTTTGTCCATCCACTACTCGACCAAAAACAACATGTTTGCCATCAAGCCTATAAAAAGACGTGTAAATAATTTAATAAGTGTCTGAGACCGTTTGTATATTTATAAACAGAAAATTTTGAGTCACTAAAAATAGGTTTTGTTGTTGAGGTTTTATGAATATTCATTTAATTGTAGTGAAGTTCAAAATCAAGAGAATACTAAGATCGTTTTGAAATGTTGATAATTTGGGGTCCTATTACTCTGGATAACATCCTTCAACTTGAGGTTCGTGAGAAGAAAGATATTAAACGTCCACTTTAGGTAAATAAAATTTCGTAGCATGAAGCAATAAAGTTATTTGGTGTATGAAAACCATAACAATAATTCTGTGGCTGCACGTTGGATGTAGCAAAATCGTTCTAAAACGTCAGCCCCAGGTTTTCCTGTATGCTTTATGAATGACCTCCTTGCATTCCCTTTACTGAGGAATCCTAACGCCATGATAGAATGAAAGTTAGTTTACGACTTGAAATATCCTTGGTTAGCATCTCTTTGCACAGGACTAATAACAGTATCTTAAAATCTACAAACCCAAATGGTTTCAGATGTAGTTTCAAGTACATTTTCTGTTTGTGTTTCAAATGACTAGTAACATTTAAGTTATATCGCTCGATATATAACAAACGTCACTTCACAGTGCTGTTTTTTCGCTTTGGCAATAGGGTATGTCAGTCAATCAGTTAGCTACAACGTAGGACCAGGCACATTTATGCATCAGTCCAAGTTGCCATACCTCATTTACACAACAAGATGGACACCGGATTCATAAAAGTAGTCAATTCAGAGGTGGCAATAAATAAAAAAAAGATTGCAATAAGGATATAATACAGGAAGAAAGAATTAGTTCATAGAAAGAAAGATATGAAGCAATTTTGATCTCTTAGTTTAAGGGAAGACAGGGAGTGTATACACCGACGCCATTGTGATCGATTCTGAGCCATGTCACCAAGAGTCTCCAACCATTGGTTACGATAGTCACGCGGACCCCAACCAAGCAGTCTGCATCTACCAACATGGCTCAGACTGGAAGTTAGTGACTTCAAGCACTGATGCCACGTTTTGGTTTGGCCGCCCCTAACTTTCTTTCAGCCATCTCCAATACCGGTTAGCATTGCACGTCGTGGTAATCGGTGTTCAGGCATACGTAACACGTGGCCCAACCATCTCAGTCGATGAAGATTCATAACCTCATCAACTGATTTACCATCCTTCCCTAATACCCTGCGTCGAACCTCACTATTACTTACCCGGTGATCCCAGCAGACGCCAGCAATATTTCTAAGGCATCTGTGATCAAATACTAGTAGCTTGCGAGTGTCTTCTACTCTTGATGGCCATGTTTCGCTGCCGTAAAGTAAAACAGAACGGACTGCCGCGCAGTATACTCGTCCTTTTATTGATAGACGGATATCTCGCCTCCGCCAAAGGTGACGTAAGTTGGCAAAAGCCAAACGAGCTTTTCGAATCCGTGCTGAGATTTCGTCAGACACCAACCCATTAGGGCTGATCAGACTTCCAAGATAAGTGAAGTTGTCAACGCGTTCGACTACTTCACTCCCTATCATTAGTTCAGGTGTTAACGCAGACCAGTCCTGAAGCAACAACTTGCATTTAGAGGGAGAGAAGCGCATCCCAAACATTCTGGCATTGTTGCTTAGTGCTACCAGAAGACTCTGCATTCTATCAGCGTCTTCACCAAACAGGACTATGTCATCTGCGTATTCTAAGTCGATAAGTGGACCTCCTGGAAGGAGATCAATACCCGAGAATTCAGTCGATGAGAGTGTTATTTCCATCAATAGGTCTATGATGAAGTTAAACAAAAATGGAGATAGTGGACAGCCTTGACGGACACCACTTGAGGTTGCAAAAGTAGATGACAGTTCGCCATAAGCCCTGACTCGACTAGTAGTGTTCCAGTAAAGAGCCTTCACAAGGTTTATGTACTTCTGAGGTACGCCTTTCAATGACAGACACTGCCACAGAGTCTCGCGGTCTACAGAGTCAAATGCTGCTTTTAAGTCAAGAAAGACCACCATCGTCGGACGCCGATAGGTATGCCTGTGTTCTAGAACCTGACGAATGGTGAATATGTGGTCGATGCAGCCACGACCAGGTCTAAAGCCAGCTTGGTTCTCTCGAGTTTGTAGTTCACGAGTCTTAGTTAGGCGTTTGATAATTATCGAGGCCAGTATTTTAGATACTATGTTTGTTAAACTAATCCCTCTGTGGTTGTCACAGGATGATTTTGACCCTTTCTTATATATTAGGACGATAAGTGATTGCGACCAGTCAGATGGGATAAAGTCTAATTCCCAGATCTTAGCTAAAATATTAGTCAACCTAATCGCTAAAATTGGACCACCATCCTTAAAGACCTCTGGAGCCAGTCCATCTGAACCAGCTGCCCTTCCTCGTTTCACATTAACTATAGCATTTTGAACTTCAGCAAGAGTTGGAGGACCTACTTCAATGTTCCATTCACACTGTCTGTGAATGGAGGGTAGTTGTAGAGTAGCTGAAGGCCAGCTGAACTGTTCTCTGAAATGTTCCGCCCATCGTTCTAAACGTCTGGACTGAGAGCAGATGAGGGTGTCGTCTTTTTCCGAAATAGTCTCACTTACACTTGACTTACTAATTTCAGTTTCTTTTGTTAGTCTGTAGAGCTGTCTTGTGTTTCCTATAGTCGCCGCCTTTTCCATCTCTTTTGCTTTCGTTGCCCACCACTGCTCACGGTCGTTCCTTAGACTTTTGCTTAACCTAGATCTGATTTGTTTTCGCTCTTCATCGTGTTCAGAGCCTGATGGGATGAGTTTACGAGAATCCATCAGTGCAATGGACCTAGAGGAAATCCATTGGTTCTTTGTAACCCTGTGGTTTAAATCACTGATAGATGTCACTACTGTTTCCACAGCTAATTGTATAGCTTTCCAAACAACATCTGGGTCAGCCTCGTTTTCAGAACTACCTAAGTGTGATCTCAGTTGTTCCTGGAACCTACTTTTGGTTTTCTCGCTACTCAATTCAGTTCTAATGGGTCTTTTTACTGTGGCTTTTTTGCGTCCAGTGAGGCGCAAGCAGATGCGTGACCGTATTAGGGCGTGGTTGGAGTCCAAGCAGGTACTCCAGAATGAGCGACAATCTTCTACCGACCCTCTCCAACGATGACTGATGGCAACATGGTCTATTTGAGTCCATCGTTGGTATGTACATATTTCTGGTACTTCTTAGATTATCACATACCACTTACGAGTCATACTTATTACAAATATATGATAGAAAAAATCTACTTTTTAATTATCCCCAATGGAATCATTTTTAACAAACAACACAGGCTAAGAA